CGGAGCGACTGAACCTGCAAAGAAAATTTAATATCATGTTTTTTTCAGATATTTTCATTTTCTGCTGCGCTATACCCTCTTACCTATCTGCACCATGATACCACTTCTGTTACTGACCCCCAAGAGTACGACCCCCCATGGACCAGCCCAACAGGTACGACCCCCCTGTCGAGGATTTCCTCGACCGATATTCACCCTGCCCGCCACTATTGAGTCGCTGGTACTAGTTCGACTCGCTGGTACATCGTTCGACTCGCTGGTGCAAAGTTCGATTCGCTGGCGCAACGCTCGGATCCAGCGATCGCTCGATTCGCAAACTATGACATCGGCCGTAGTGATCTGCAGTGCTTCGCTGCTCAATACCTTGTAAACCGACCACGCCACTTTTCAGTAACGACACCATTGCAGAGGGTTCTTGTTCTGCACTCGAATACGAGTCCAGCAGTTCGGCTCAAATTTGTTATTATGATTCCAGGTGCCGCTGTGACAGTGGGTTCACTGGGGAGGCTTGTGACGTCGAAATGGACTTGTGCTCATTGATTCCCTGCAAGAATGCCGGCCTGTGCACTAGTTCCAATGGAAGCTACACTTGCGAGTGCAAATCAGGGTGGACCGGCAAGTCATGCGATATTCGAGTGAGTTTTTGCGATACTGAACTGCGCCTTGCTTTCCAGCGCAATAAGGTCAACGACATTTCTTTTTAAATAAAAGGAGCATTTGCTTTCTATTTTCGCTCCAACTTACTTGGAAAAGCGCAATGCACATGACCAATCCTTCCATTTATCTCGTTTCCTGATGCAGGTGAGGCTGACCCCTCACCTTACTCAGGCTCAATGAGTATTCAAGTGTTTACAATCGTTTTTTTTTGCACGCGTGCGTTTGAGGGACTCAACCAAAAGTGTCATCGTCGAATGTTAACAGTAACAATACTCTCCACGATTAGGTCGTCAAAGTAGCGTCAGCCTGGGGAAGGTAAAGGGGTCGGCAAGTATACGGGTCGTACCGACTTAATCACACGAAATCGCCAAGCAGGGGCGCTAAGGCTTCAGGATGCAGATGGGGTTGCACTCTTCACCCAGGATCCGCCCAACATTTGACATTATAGGCCATGTCCGCTCTTGCTCCTATCCATGGTCTCCAAATCTTATCTCTCCTCAAACTTATCTCTCTCCCGACCAGTATCTACTATTCCGGTTTTGGCCTATTAGAACCTTCATAGCCTGTACGAGGGCCCCATTTTCAGTGTTTTCGTGATTTCTCGTCTTTTTCCTCCATCGGTCCTTATCACCACTGTGCTTTCCCACTTTTGGGTGAGAATAACAATACAGCCCTCGACTTGCTAGAGTGTCTCTTAGAGGCGGGTCTTTGTGTAGGTTTGACTGTAGCGGATGCGGGGACACGCGGGCGCGCTAATTGTAAGAGACAGCAAGTGAGAGCGCCACCTCTTACGAGAGAGCGCAGACGCGTCACATATTATGACACATGAACGGGAAACAGTGAAGCGATCTAAGCAATATAGAAAGGCCCTAGCTCACCTGTCGCACACTTAGAACGGCACATCTGCAGCAATTCGTGGAGAGATCTTTTCTACCCACTAAAGAATTGATCAACTTGAAATCATCGGGGGTGTGCATTAATGCCGTGGATCATTGAACATTTTTTCGATCCTTTTCTTTTAGGACCAGTCAGTATGCTCTGATGCAGCGTGTAAAAACGGTGGCACGTGCGAATCTGTAAGTGATGAGTTGCCCATTTACAAGTATAGTTTAAGTTATAACTGATTTTCAATTCAGGATGCTGGTGGCGGAATCAAATGTCTTTGCAAACCGGATTCTTCGGTCATTTCTGTGAGGAGCGTGAAGATCCATGTGAAACGAGGCCATGTGACCACGGGTACTGTAAGGCATCAGATTCAGCCGGGTTCGAATGCGAATGTGAAGAAGGTAATCGTTTTCAGACAGCTTTATTCAAGAAAAATAATATTGCACCGCTACATCGAGCTTGAACATACAGTGTAGTCTCTAACAACTAGTGAAAAAGCGTGCTAATCGTGCTCGCTATTGGCGCTTACTCGTGGCGCCCACTCGCGCACACCTTTCACACATTTTTCTCCACCTAAGGTTGGACCTCCAGGTGTACGAACAGCGAAACGAATGACTTAAAATGATATGTCCCTAATGCTTCCTTTACAGGTTTTTCTGGCAAAACTGCTCCAGTTGCGTTCCGCACTATCGCTCTACATACCTCTTGCAAGTGGTCGAGGACTATGTAGCCTGTAGGAAATGCGACAAGATGTTGGGCACGTGACAAGTGATGTTCATTTTTTGTCTGGTTCGGTGTAGGAGTGGAAAAGCATGTCCATGAAACCACGTGTAAGCGCGAGGGCATGGCTCAAACAGCGCGCTTAAATATCGATTGAGTCGTATAGCCGCCCCGCGACCGCACGCGCCTTCCCGACAGTGTCTCCATCTTGAGCCTGTTTCGATCTAACTACTGTGGTGGAATGTTCTCATTATTTCTTACGGGAGCGATTATCCACCAGTTATGGTCCCGCAGACCAAGATTTGTTGCTAATCGCTGTAGACTGCTGCTGAGTGCGAACTAATGGTGTCCCCCAAGAGGCCCATCGCGCGGCGAAGGAAGAGACGCAGACGCGGCAAAGGACGAGTCGCAGCGCATTACTGGGCGTTTAGGCGTCAGGCTTGATCGTTATCATGATGGCTCATATCGCACGCACGCGTTGGAAAACTCGTTCATGCCGATCTGCGTCTTTCCTTCGCGCGAGGAATTTTGGGGACACCCAGGCCGAACTAACGCGCAGCGATTATAGCTGTACTAAAACTGTACTAAATGAACAATTTATAGCGCTGGAGAGGTGCTGCTTGTACGCATCTTGTTGATGAGTGTCTGTCGATTCCTTGTGAGAACGATGGCACTTGCGAGACAACCGCGGAAGGCTTCAATGGCCAGTGGTGCAAGAAAATACTTACTAGGTGAGCCTTCTAAGAAGTAGCTTCATTCTTTTGGTCATCTTCAGATATTGAAGCGACGAAAGTGAAACACGATGTTTCAGGTGATCGTTGTGAGCTGCAAGGCACTTGCCTTACACATCCATGTGAAAGAGGTGAATGTATTCAGCTGTCATTTGACAGTCACTCCTGTAGCTGTCCCAAAGGCTATGAGGGAACGAGATGCGAGGTACGTTTTTGTTGGATCAGAATTGCGAAATGTAGTATAAAAAAAAATGAAAACCGCCCCTATACTTCATAAATGCATCTTAAGCAATGCTTCTAGTGCAAATTACCCAGTGATACGGTTTTTCATTTTGATTTGGAGCCATTTTCTTGCCCATTCACACTCATCCCAGGCTTGACTGTGGAGAGCAATTGGACTATTTAGATGGTTCTGCGAAGTGATTATCGTATGAAATGGTCCTACCCTGATATAGATGAGAATGCAGTTTTATAGGGTTTTGTAAGGTTTTGCGTTGAAACCGTGGAACTCTAAAGGTCCCTATAGTCGTACTGTTCCCCTTAGGAGGTCTTTTGTGATTGCCAAGCCTTTAAAGCAACAGTCCCAGCAGGGTTTTTACCTTCGACACTAATGGTGTGGAACGATGCGCTAGCCCTAGTCAAGAACATAAGAAGTGTGACTGAACAAAAAACTCACCTTGGAAAGCCGCTAGAAAGGGAGCTGAACGGCTTCGAAATGGGCGTGGTTGGTCTCCATTGCTTACTGGCAACCACGCCCTTGAACCACGCCCTCTTGCTCCCTTCTAAGCGCTTCGTAAGATGAGTTTGTTTGTTAGTCGTACTTTTTATGCTCTTCTGGGCTAGGCGCCCATATCCAGCATTAGTGTCAAAGGTAAAAACCCTACAGGAGTGTTGCTTGGGTTAAGGTAACTGCGATCCATGATGGTGGCTTTATAGCTGATGTCGCTATCATATTGTGCATTTTGATGCTTTTGTGCTCTGCTGCCACATTTGCGGCTAGCTCTGTCATACCAAAAGGCGATCGGCAGTTCACAGAGTCAAATCTCTTCTGATTTGAAATAACAAAGCTCAGGGAGCGCTCTTTATTGCTGATGTAAGGAACCATCTTCCATCACTTCAAATCAGCTATTTCCAGATACGCATAGACTACTGCAAGCGAAATCCTTGTCTCAATGGTGGATCATGTGAATCACTGATTGGAGAGCACAAATGTCATTGTATCAATACGATTCACAGGTAATTTCTATGCAGTTCCGACTTCAATTACCACTCTGCGATACTGTAGAGAATCAAACTTTGTCGAGTAAAACCGCAATACTTTGCGCGCGGTTGCGACGAGGAGAGTTGGAAAAATGGTCTATGTTAATCGAACGGCCATCAGTCATTGAGCACACTATGCACTGAAGATGCCAGAGAAAATAAAAAAAACACTCAGAAATAGTAAAGTATTATGCAGGTAATACTAGATACTTAGGTGCAAATTGCGAGACGGATATTGATGAATGCCTCCTTGGCTTTTGCGCTAATGGTGCGAAGTGCCGTGACCGCATCGCCGACTACGAGTGCATTTGCGACGGACAGGATTTAGCGGTATGTCAGAAACTTTATTTTTTTTACCTTAAATTTCTGGAAGATTAAGGGTCATGTGAAAAAAAACAACCTTACGCTGTTTCAAAATGTCACAGTATTTATTGAAAACTTAAAAAGCTTTCTACCCTCGCGGAGGGTACGGTACGGCCGGGGTCAGGCGTTCGTTCGCCCTGCTCGAATGAGGGGTTCGCATCTGCGATTTTGGAAAGGGGGTTGCATTTAGATTGAGCAAGTGAGCTATCTCCGGGAGATAAGGGGGTGACTAGGTTTTTGATACTTCACGAAAGTTTGTCTCCAACTGAGCGTGAACTAGCAATTGTTGGATCCGCCGTTTCGTTGCGCCAATTCACCCTACTACCCATCCCTCCCTTATACTCATCCTTTCCTCGCTCGACGGCCCTATTCAATGCTTTTGGAGAAGGAAAAGTGGAGGCGGTTGCAGTCAACTTCGTCTCAGCAATCAACTACGTTGGAACCCCATGATGCAATGGTGTCTCTATCGGGGAGAGGGCGTTATAGTTGTGGGAGCCTCCTAAGAGTCGGGGTTGTTGTGGGAGGGTCGCAGATGTCTTCAGAAGGGGGGTGCGCAACAATTTATGGAAAAGGGCGACCGCGACGGTTGACTCTGGGTACGGCTTTACCGTCTCTGTGAGCAGAACTGGTGTGTAAGCTGTCAAATTTTGCCTTAAGTGTATACACGTGCTTGCTTAAAATTCCAAAAAGATGTATCGTTCCTATTGGAAAAATCGGTTCTACACGTGCAGCATTCCGTTGCAGCACGTCGCAGGGATAAAGAATACCGTCTGTTTAATAAACCATGAACAGGTCCAGCACGTTCCCTTTTGAAGGTATTTAACGGAAAGGGCAGCCCATTGGAAATAAGGGGAGGTGGTCAATGATGCACCGGTGAAGGAAGAAAAAACAAGAAAAGTGGTTTCGAAACTCGAGAAATGGTACCGCTTCCTTTACTCGATGATTTCCATATTGACCGACTCTGATCGCAGC